CAGCTTGCTGGGGATATTTAAAAGTGATATTGGCCTATAATTTGAAACATCTGCTGGGTTTCCTTTTTAAAGATTGCATTAACTTTTGCAATCTTCCATGTGTTAGGGAAGCTGGACTGAGCCATGCTGCTCTTGAAAACAGTTACAATGCCCTCTAGGGCGGATGTTCCTGCAATAGCTAAGCTACGAGAAGAGATGCCATCAGGACCAGATGCTTTGTTAATTTTAATTGTCTTGATATCAGTTTTGAGTTTGTTGATGTTGACCTCCAAGACCTGCACAGTGGGGGTAACTCTGTACATGAATTGATGGGGATCATCAACTTCGGGGAATTTTTCAGCTAGTTCCTTGCCAATATTTATGAAGTAAGAGTTAATCAGTTCAGCTTTCTCGTAGTCATTTGTGATTTCCTTATTTTCAGCATCTCTGAGGGGGCCAATATGTTTATTCTTAGGTTTTCCAGTGGCCTCGTTCACAGTTTTCCAGAAAGATTTTGAGTCCTTGGTCTCTGTAAATTTCTTTTTCCAATATTGAGCTTCAGCACGTCGTAGCATCTTAGATACTTTGTTCCTAGAGGATTTGTAATCAACCCAGAGTTTATTAGTAGCGGGTGTGCCATCACAGGCTTTCAGAAGTTTATATCTCTTATTCATCTCTTTCCGGATCTCACTGTTCATCCAAGGTAGTGAATTTTTTCTAACCTTGGCTTTACGTAAGGGAATGTGACTGCTTGCAATAATAGAACAAGTAACTTCTTATAAATTGCTTGGTGTAACACTCGATCAAGATCTTACATTTAGCGACCACATTTCTAGTCTAAAGGCCAAGCTTTCTCAGCGTATTGGTTTATTGAAGAAGATAAAGAGGTACCTTCCAATAAAAGAAAGACTCTTATACTATAACGCCTTGATTAAACCCGTCCTTATGTATGGGAGCATGGTTTGGAATATCTGCGACGCTAAAGAACTCCACTGTCTCCTAAGGTTACAGAAAAGGGCTGCCCGAGTAATCCTTGGAGTTGACTCTTATTCTAGAAGTGTTATAAACTTTAGTAAACTAGGCTGGTTGCTTTTTTTGATGAAATCAAACTAAATAAGTGTACAATGATTTTTAAGAGCCTTAAAGGCGATGTTCCGATTTACATCAGAGACTTGCTCAAGACGAACAGTTCTGTACACAATAGGTCTACTAGACATGGCAATTTAAATTTAGTGTGTCCCAAATACCTAAGAAATAACGATGGTGGCAAGGCATTCAGTGTTGACGCAGTTAAGTTATGGAACAGCCTTCCCCATAATATCAAAAATAAGCCTAGTATAAAACTATTCAAAACAGCTGTGAAAAAGTATTTTATAAGCTCATATAGAAACCTGGACAACTTTGAAACAATATTAAGCAATAGCACATTATCTAATTTTAATTTTTTATAAATTAATTTTATCTTTCTGAATATTTTTAATATATCCTGCTATTTCTATCATAGAATTTTGTAATTATTTGTATATTTATCTATTTATTAGTATTATTTTGTAATGCTGTATAATCTAGTTAGAGGGCCACAGGTTTGTCAGCTTTTCAGCTGTTACGTGTCCCCCTCTATAAATAAAGTCCTTATTATTATTATTATTATAGAGCTACAAATCTAAACTAACAACAAGATCTTGTTTAAAGTGTCTTTGCTACATCACCACAGAATAGGATTTCAATAAACTCATAATAAAAATATTTGCAAATGCAAAATAGTAGCCCTCCAAGAAAAAAAAAAATTAAAAATAAAAGACTACATTACTAAGAAACGAAGCTTTCACACGGACAAGAGAACATGGCCTCTTGAGAAATATCAAAGTGTCGTCGAAAGAGCAACATATACATTAATCTCTGGCTCGATCGCTGATCTAAAAAAGTTTTTTTAAGTGATTCTAGCTTGCTAGGATCAAAATGCAGAGACTTGGTATTTTTAAAATCATTAACTTTTCTTGGTTATTCATGAATTTAGATGGAATGATATATGGTGGAAACTTTATCAAGCGGCACCATATTAAGCGGTCACCCTATATTAGGATGGATTAAGACTTTCAGAAGGGATATGGCAATTGTAGACTCAGGGTAGTATTTTATCATTTTGATGGACTGGCTAACAATTTGTTGATTTCATTCTGATAGCAACAAGTCCTTCCACGATTGATAAAGGAACGGATTCAACTTCACCTGAAGAGGTAATTAGTGTTCCAGTGGACAAACAGCAGACTGAGGAACAGAGTGGAGAAGACGAAAGTGAATCGTTTAAAGAAACGCTCAGCGTGGGTCCAGGTAACTTATCCTCCTTCGAAATAACAATAATATTCAAACGTACACAAGATCATGTTTATTTTACTTGAGGAAGTACAACACTTATTGGAAGACTCGTACATTTCTAAGGCAATGGAAAGCTACCCTACATGAGGGAATGCCAAGGCTAAGAAGATATGCATGTGTAGAGCTGCACATCTAAACAACAACAAGATCGTGTTAAAAGTGGATTTGCCTCAACACCACAGTATAGGATTTCAATACACTCATTACAAAAATAGTTGCAAATGCAAAATAATAGCCTTCCAAGAAAAAAAAAACCTGAATATATAAGAAACGAAGCTTTCATCTGGACATGGCCTTTTGAGAAGAATCAAAGGTCGAAAGAGCAAACCGCCATGCAACGTGCATTCGTGTAGTGAGCAGTCTGCCTCAAGTCAAGGATGTAATCATTACGCCAAATGTTTTAGTTGACAATCGGAAACAAATTGTGCTGGGACATATTCACGAAGCACATTTTGTCAGCCTTCAGCCCATGCAAGGTACAGCTCAGAAATCACTCTTCGTTAATTTGCTCCAATGAATGTTGATAGGTAAAGAGTATCCATAAGACAAACTATCTCTATCCTAATTTAGAAAGGTACACGTAATTAGAAGATCAGTGAGGCTAAGAAAAAACCCGGATGACATCCTCTATTCATCAACCTCCTTCTCCGAAATCGAAATAGTGGCCTTAACTCGCCGGGATCCAAATGTACGGACTTGATTTTTAAAAATCTTTAGCTTTTCATGGTTGGTCATGACTAGACGGAATGATATACTTTGTGTTAATGACATAATTTTTTCCCACCCAAAATATGCGTGCGTAAAATGACTTAACACCAAGAAAATGCAATGCTTAAAATGAATGAACAATAGTGATCATGATGATTGTTGTGATTTTATCATTTTTGTTTTGATAGAAACAAGCCTTTCCCGTTTGAAGATTGGTGAAGTAAAGGATCCAACCTCACTTGAAGAGGTTACTAGTGTTCCGAAGGACAAACAACAGACTGAGGAACAGAGTGGAGAAGACGAAAGTGAATCGTTTGAAGAAACGCTCGGCGAGAATCAAGGTAACTTAACGTCGTTCAATATAACAATAAAATTCGAACACAGACAATATCAAATTTTTTTCTTTCTCAAGAAAGTTTAAGATTAACCGGAAGACCCGTTTAATTTGTAAGGCAATGGAAAGCTATCCGACGTGAGAGGGTGCTGAGGCTAAGAAGATATTCATGTGTAGAACTACAAATCTAAACTAACAACAAGATCGTGTTTTAAGTGTCTTTGCTTCATCACCACAGTATAGGATCTCAATACACTCATAACAAAAATATTTGTAAATGAAAAATAGTAGCCTTCCAAGCATGAAAAAAAACTAGATATCTAAGAAACGAAGCTTTCATCTGGACAAGAGAACTTGGCCTCTTGAGAGGAATCAAAGCGTCGAAAGAGCAACATATAAATTAAACTCAAGCTCGATTGCTGATCAAAATAAGTGTTATTTGAGTGGTTCTAACTTGCCAGGATCAAAATGCAGAGACTTGATATTTTTAGAAAAGTTAACTTTTCTTGGTTGTTCATGAATATCGATGGAATGATATACAGTGGAAACTGTATCAAGCGGCACCATATTTTGCGGTCATCCGGCATGTCTTAAGATGGATTAAACCGTCCAGGAGAGATATAACAATTGTAGCGTCAAGGTAGTATTTTATCATTTTGATGGACTGACAAACAATTTGTCGATTTCATTCTGATAGCAACAAGTCCTTCCACGATTGATAAAGGAACGGATTCAACTTCACTTGAAGAGGTAATTAGTGTTCCAATGGACAAACAACAGACTGAGGAACAGAGTGGAGAAGATAAAACTGAATCGTTTGAAATAACGCTCGGCGTGGGTCCAGGTAACTTATCCTCCTTCGAAATGACAATAACATTCAAACGAACACAAGATCATGTTTATTTTACTTGAGCAAGTAAAATACTAATTGAAAGACGCGTAAATTTCAAGACAAGATAATGTTTATTTTACCTATGAAAGTAAAAGACTAGCCGAAAGACTCGTAAATTTCTAAGGCAATGGAAAGCTATCCTACGTGAGGGAATGCTAAGGCTAAGAAGATATGCATGTGTAGAGCTGCACATCTAAACAAACAACAAGATCGTGCTAAAAGTGTCTTTGCTTCATCAGCACAGTATAGGATTTCAACACACTCCTTAACTCCTAAGAGTTCTGACGAAGGGCTAACGGCCGAAACGTCAGCTTTTTCAACTCTTTACGGTGGCCAATTTACAACTTCTGCGATTTATTACAGAACAAAGGGGGTAAGTTTCTAAAGAAACTGTGGTGCTGCGTCAGTGGGGGTAACAAGGTAATTTGGTTTTATCAACTAAGTTGAAATTGTAAATTGGCCACCGTGACTGACCTGTAAACTAGCTTTATATAGCTAAGCGTCAGCCACGTTAATGAGGGTATGTATGTATGTATGCCCTTCGTCAGAGTTCTGACGAAGGGCTAACGCCCGAAACGTCAGCTTTTTCAACTCTTTACGGTGGCCAATTTACAACTTCAACGTACCAAATTACCTTATCACTGAATAGATACATGGCAACATGGAATCTCTTTGTCAATTAGTTGACATCGTTGTGTTTTGTTTTCATCAGCAGCATTAGATCATGACATCAAAGGAAAAACCACAACTTTTGAAGCTGAGCACAAGGAATGCATCCGCGTGTTGCCATACACAAATGCAAGCGGTCAGGTTTATGTCCAACTGTACGTATTTTGTGACAAGAACAGTATACCAGAAGAGTTAAAAGAAGCTGCTCAAGAGTTCTTCGGGGAGACGGGTGTTGAACTCAGATGGACTAATCTGTATAATTACGCGTCTAACATACCAAATATTGTCTCGAAAGATTTCAAACAATTAGAAGTATCCCAGGCTAATGTTATTTGTAAAATAATTAACAAAAATCTGCCCGTATTCTCCAAGCACCGTAACATCACTGCAATCCAGCCCTCTTTGAAGGTTACAAATTCAAAGCAAACAAACTATCCTTGCATCAGAGTTTATGTTCTTGGCAAAGGATGCATTCCCGTTGGCGAATCGGAAATCCCAAACGCCGTTGAGAATTGTCCCGTAGACATCGTGGATGGATTTTGGTTGGAAACTATAGACACCCCCAAGCCCCTCACGGCACATAAGCAGGAGAAATATCTTCGTTTAGGAGCAAGCATAGGAGTTAGAGGGGCAAAAACTGCTGGGACCTTGGGAGCCATTGTAAAAGATGACAGCAGTTTTTATCTACTCTCCTGTGATCATGTGATCAACCATGAATGGGAGAGAGAGATAATACATCCTGGAGGGGGCCATTACTTGGCCTCTTTAAAATACCACCTGACTGAGTACCAAAACTGGATAAATCGTATCATTGAACCAGAAAATAGTTGGATGGACAGCAATCTAATGCCAAAAAGTATTTTTGAACACCTGAAAAACCAAGTAAATTCGTTTTATAACGCTACGGATGTCCAACGGCATCCGAAGTTAGAAGAGTGCGAGAGGAAATTAGGCGAACTTTTCTCAGAGAAACCAAGAACTGTAGCATACTATAAAGATGGTTTTCGCCAGAACATGAAGATTCCGGGCGGATCAGAATGTTTCATTGATGTTGCAATTGCTGAGTTGACCGATAAAGAAGTAGAAGCTCTAAAAGAAAAAGGTTATGTCGAAATTATTGACACAACAAATTATCCAGATGGCAATGTCTCGAGGGATGGGTCACAAAATCGTGCGAAGGAATGGTGTAAAAGTGGTAGCTCCACTGGATATACTACTCTGAAAAATCATTATTACCTTGAAAATGTGTTTTTAAAGACTGCCGAACATGAAAGGCCATCATTCTTTCCAGGAAACCTCAAACCTCCTGAAACGTACGTAGGTGACGAAGTGTGGCGTGTAAGCTGCTTATTGTTTCCACACAACCAGAATGTATTCTCTAAGCTGGGAGATTCGGGGGCAGTCATTTTTGAAAAATCTGAGGGACAGCCTCAGGCGATGTCAGGATTTGGCATTGTCCTTGGAGTAATTTCTTCCGAGGCTGGGTGTGGCACCGTAGCCGCACCATTATTTAGTGCTCTCGACCTACTCTACGAAAAGTTGGGTCGCAGATTTACACTAGTTTCTACATTTTAGATCCCTCCCGGTTACATGGACGATTACTGATCCATTTTACCCTGACCGCAAGGATTTCATTGAAACTCTAACATGATAGCTATGATTCATTCCTTTCACGTAAATGCAGGCATAGTTTAGGGTCAGAGTGAAATCATTTCTCAGCTCCAGTCGTAAAGAACTTATCTCAGACTTTGACATTCCATGATTAACAATCCCTCAGCTCTGTTACTACGCGAGATTTGATGCGTTAAAAAAATCTCGATCCACCTTACGCTTTGCGCGCATTATCCATAACTTCGTGGACCACGAAAACCCGACGTCTTGCAATTGTCTTCTTCACACGTTATTCTATATCGTCTCTACGTGAAACGACAAGGTGGTCATACTTGAACAAGAAGACACCTTTATTTCGGGATTTGTCTGCCTAATCAACGCTATATTGCAACAGAACTGAGCGACTGAAATTTTCTTTGTCAACGACCTCGTCAATAAGACTGAAAAATTCCACGACAAAAACTGCCATGCGTCAATAGCTTTGATGTACCTGTGTCTAAAGAAACGCAGCTTAGTCACCTGTCAACCTCGAAACGAAAATAAACAACCCTACATCGCGACAGAACTGAGCTATTGAAATTTTCTATGTTAATGACCTCGCCAATAAGACTGAGAAATTCCACAGCAAAAACTGCCATATGTCAAAGAATAGCTTATTTCGATTGAAGAAAGGTTAGTTTTGCACAGGTCTGCCCACTTGAGGACTATGCTGTTGAATTTGAATATTTTCTTCTAATAATTCTAATAATAAACAGATATGCGTAAAATTTTAGATAATTCCGTACGATTTCAGGAAGTTAAAAAGACTCATGTATACTCATATACTCTGCGTGCAGCTAAATCGATTGTTTTAACGTTGATTGATTATGATTATTAAAATAACAATGGTTAATAATTTTTATTAATACTTATTTTTGTTCGATATTTTTTTTGAATTCGTTTGATATTTTACTAGATATTTTTAAGCTTTTACTTTTGTGAGTAATAATTAGAAATTAAGTAAATTTTGAGAAGCTGATGTTTTGTCTTTTTTTGCTTTGATTACCTATTTAACGTAGTCCTCAAAGGAGTTTATTTCTGATGTATACAATTTTTTCCAACTTATTAAATCATATGCTTTGACGTGAACGGGCTACTTATTTTCTTGTAATGTTCTTGTTTCATTTCAACATGTACCTTACAAATATCACCGAAGAGTGCGCAAGTTTGACCCCAGGTTCTCTTTCCCTAGACTAGTGCACATGGAGTGGCTATGGAAACGAAGACAGGAACAGGAAGGGTGGAATAATCTATTTTCATGTTTTCCTTTCAACAACTTATGTACTAAGAGATGTTTAAATCATATCAGTGCCTTTATCGAGACGGGAAGTGGCCGAATGAAACACCTTTCGTCTGTAATGTGTTTCTTCAATAATAATGGTAAATGAAAAACAGCTCCAAATTTTAACTGGAAATGCCCATTGAAAAGCCGCGTAGCTCTGCTTAACCGATAGAACCGATAGAAGAATATGAGGAAAATGCTGCTAAAGCAAAACGTTTTAAGTTCGAGTTCAGTTAAGTTCGAATTCAGTTAAGTTCGAGTTGAGTAGTTCTAAAATTACAACGCTACTTGCAGATCTGTACGGACCTCCTCAGATGAAAATCAAAGAACTTGAATTAAAGGGATTGTTACGTTAGTTTCTTGCGCACCTAGAATTCTTTTGGATTGGATTGTTAAGTTATTATCTCGCCCACTTTAAGAAATCTCTTTCACTGGATTGTTACGCAAGTATCTTGCTCACCTGGCACACCTCTCTCTTTGATTGGATTGTTACGTTGGTATCTTGCGCACCTAGAATTCCCTTTGATTGGATCGGTACTTTAGTGTCCCGCCCACTTTTGCAATTCCCCTTCATTTAATTGTTACGTTAGTATTTCGCGTTAAAATCTCGCGCATTTTTGGAATTCTCTTCGATAGGATTGATAAGCTGTTATCTCGCTTACTTTTAGTTTTCTTTTTGATTGGATTATAACGTCAGTACAGTATTTTCCGCATCTTTAGAATTCTCTTTAATTGGATTGTTACGTTAGCATCTCGTCCACTTTGTAATTCTCTCTCATTGGATGGTTATACTGGTATCTCGCGCTTTTTTAGTTTTCTTTTTTATTGGATTGTAACGTTAGTATTTGGCGTACCTTCAGAATTCTCTTCGATTAGATCGTTACGTCAGTATCCCGCCCACTTTTGCGAATCCCTTTCATTGGATTGTTACGTAAGTATCTCACGCGCGTTGAGCATTCTCTTTCATTGGACTTTTACGATAATATCTTGCGCACTTTTGGAACCTTCTTTCATTATATTTTTTCGTTAGTATCTTAAGCAATTTTAGAATTTCCTTTCGTTGGACTGTTACGTTAGTAACTCGTGCATGTTTTTAGATTTCTCTTTGATTGGATTGTGACGCTAGTATCTCAAGCACGTTTAGGATTGTCTTTCATTGAAATGTTACGTTAAGCCGGCGACATACCTGGCGATTTTGTACGCCGATCGCAGCGAATTTGATCGCCGGCGAAAATCGCTGCGGACACACTTGGCGATTTTTTTCGTCGATCGCGACAATGTGGCACTTCAGGGTGACGTTTAAAAATTGCGCGAACCAATGTAACCGAGCAAAAATGGCGACAGCGAAGCGAAAAAATTTGTTAGCTGATGCTATAATTTTGCAAGCAAAAGCGCTCCAGGAAGCGTTCTGAAAAGTGGAACAATAATGAGAAAAATATGGTCGAGGACATGGATTTCTTGAAACGCAGCGTCCTTCTTGAGACGATTAATGTAGCCGCTCGACGTTACATAAGCATAATAAATAAGCATGGCTTTTCGGACCACAGTGTGATCAAATTGACTTCTTTTTCTTCGGTCCAGAAACAATTTTCGATGACTTCCGCCATTTTGAAAAGTCATGTGGTAATATCGACCAACTTGATTGGTTAATTTTACTGGCAACTCTCGATGGAAAGGGGAGAAAATCGCGGGAACAGGCAGACTTGGCGAATGCCCGCGAATTTAATCGCCGATATCTGACATGCCAGATATCGGCGATTTTATACGCCGATCGCGGCGATCGGCGAAAATCGCAATCGTGGCACCGGACACACCTGGCGATTTACGCCGATCGCCGCGATCGGTGTATAAAATCGCCAGGTCTGTCGCCGGCTTAAGTATCATACGCAATTTTAGAATCTTCTTCGAACTTTTGCATTAGTAATTCTAGAAGCTAAAATCAAATTACAATAGTATGCACCAAAATTGATTTTTGTTTCTCAAATTTTCTTCTTGAGTTCATCATTGACTTAGGTTGGTTTTTTTTTTTGACGTAATCTAAGTAAAGATCTTAGAAATTAATTTTAAAAATGTAACTCGTAGAGCTAAAATCTAATTGGAAAAGTATGTTCCATGAATTGATACGTTTGTTTCCCTAATTACCTCAAAGGTTTATCATCAACTGATATCATATCATTCTAACATGATTAACTGAAAATGTTGGAGCCCATGGTATTTGTCTGTCAAATTGCTTCTTAAGTTTTTCATCAACTGCATTTATACAGAACTTTTTAAAAAACGTGAAAAAACTTTTTTGACTCGAGATCTGATTGTCAATTCTCCCTTCCCTCTGCTACACATTTCCCTGTTAATTAGTCAAGATAATTTACTGTTACATCAAGATAACAACTTCTACCTGATATGTTTGAGTATTCTCATTACCTGTTTGCTGGATAATTTATGGATATTATAGGGAGAAGTTACATGTTCATCACTTCTGGGAGATAGAGGGTTAACAATGGTAGGACCCAAAAGAAATCCAGTTTTAAGTTGATTAATTCAAAGATCTTCACTAGGAACGAATTTGTGAAAGAAAAGGATGGCTTGGTTTCATAACTTTTAGCAAAGCTATCAGAGAATAATTTCAAAATACATTTTGTCAAAGGAAAATTTGCAGCTTTCCATTTGTTTCCTTGCTCGGAACTGGTCAGCTCAGACGACCACCATGCACAAACTGTATTATCTAATTATTCAATCTAAAGAAATGCATTTATAATTCGAAATCAGAAAAACGCAAATCAAGTCTTTCTCTCATAGAAAAACTCGGAAAACGTGCTTGGAAACTTACTTCTGTGGCGGGTCGTAAAAACAGTCTCAATCTACAGGTTAGCAGATTCAGGTAAGGTAACAGACTATAAAAAACGATTTCTCTCTTTTATGGATTCTTCTGAAAAACTGGTCTAAAACTTAACGAGCAAACACTTTTGAAAGATGATAGGCTTCGCTGTGGACTGCTGTATGGGTGTCATCTCTGCTGGTATTCAGTGGTTCTGAATCCACGGTCAGTTAACACCCACGCTTTTTTTAATACCACGGTTGTTTTGTACCTAGTTGTTTCGTACCTAGATCAGTTGATTCGTTCGTAGATTGAATCAAGTCGTACCCAAAGTGCTGGAAGAGATGTTCCAATCCCAATACACATCCAATAAAAATACCTTATATGCGAGCACGTAAACACATGTTGATTGTTGCAAACAAGTAAGTAGAGTCAAGCAAGTAAAGTGCAAGCAAAATTCTGTTGCGTATACCTGACCTTTTTAACTACAACACCAAATTTTTGCCTATTTGTACTTAAAGAGTCCGTTGTTTTTGCTTGTGGCTTTCTCGACAATAACAGCTGGTGTAAGCGAGATTTTTCTCCGTTTGTTATTAACGGTAGTAAATTCGATTATACTCGTTTTTTCTTTTATTCTATATTTACTTTAAACATACTCCTCATGGAAAACATACTTTACTAGTAGGGATATGGGTACATAACGGTATGACACAACTGGTAACCTCTCTACTGTACCACTTATGACTTAGCTCAGTTTTGAGAATTGGTTTGTGTCAAGAAAGTGATTGCATCTAC